CCAGAGGACCTACTTATTTTTTCTTTTTGATTTTTTTCTACCTGGATTACTGAGATTCTTCAGGACTATTCGAAAACATGTTACAAAGTAGAGCAAAAGAAAGCACACGTTTTAACCGCTCATACTTTTTTGTGTTGATTTTGTTTCCTCCAGAAGTTCAGGTGAATCAAATCAAACTACTCCATGTCGGTTGAAGGGGCGCAGCTGGAAACGAATGGACAGAAAACATGGACGMCCAGCAGGACGTTCAAGTTTCAAAACGAAACGGCAGCTCGAAGTCATTTATATCCGCCGGTTCTGCCGTGGATATGGAGATTAAAYGAAAGAAAATTTGACAGAGCGCCTTTTTTTACCGACAGAGGTACGCTTAAAGAGGCTGAAGACGGGTTTGCATGTTTTATGACAAAAACTGAATTAACTTGTGTCAATTTCCGAGGTTTAAACTAAACAATGGTTACTTTTGAAGAGGTCAACCTGTGAAGAAAATGTTCTTTATAATGATCCTGAAATCCAAGAACCAAAAACGTCAAAATAAACTTTTATTTTTATTTTTTTTCACAGTTCCAGAACAGTTCCAGCTTCATTTTGTTGAATAGGTCAGTCTTTAAGCTGGTTTCAGCTGATAAAACTAATAACTGAGTTGAGATATTTCATTACAGAAGTAGAAACATGATGCTGCTGTTCAACTGCAAACTCTTTATAAAGATTTCTTTTTGCCTTCGTGTTGAAGAGTTACTATCCTGAAACCACAAACAAAAGTCTCTGGTTGACTTTTTAACCCTTATTTGTAATTGTTGTATTATTTTGAATGCCCATTGTATAGAATATAATGACTTCTTTTTTAAATTATTTCTTTAAAATGGAAGCAAATAACATAAGTATTTTTGACAGATTTACACAGATATATAAATCTGTCAAATTTAGGCACAAAAGGTTATTTTTAACTGAAGTGTCTTTTAAAAAAACTGACAAAACACACAAAAATAAAGACATTATTTACAAAAACACTTTGCAAATTTGACAGTTGTTTTTTTTTTTTACATTTTCCAGAGATCCAGATTGTTTATTGAAACCAGGTGAACTCCCAACAAAAATAAGAAAAGCTCCATTTTAGAGTCAGTGTTTGTCCCTTCTGAGCCACTGTAGAAACACTGCAATGCAAGGTTTTTATACATTTTACTTAATTTCTGCTTAAAACTGCCTAATTTACTTTTGGCTGAACTCTCTTAAATAATATTAGAAATAAAACCAAAACGCACGAATGAAATGATATTTTAACATAATATTAGAAATTAAACAGAAACTGGGAGACATTATTCCAGCAGGAGAACTGATTTATGTAATAAGAGGCCAACGTGTCACTTATATAAGGGATATTGAGTAAATATTAATGCTTCGATAATAACTTGAGCGTAATGTGAACCTCAGTGATGCTGCCTTTCTTTGTTATTACGGCTGTAAACCAACAGGTGGCGCTCAACACCGTSGGTTTTTAGGAAGATCAGAGCAGCTCTGAAAGAGAAACATTTGTGAGTCAATCAGGTAAGGACTAAAATATCAATTCACTGAAAAAAATGTCCACCTAACCAAGTTTTAAGATATTATATCCAGCCAAAAAGTCTTTCTGATCTTGTTTTGAGACTGATTTACTAAACAAGAAC